TAAAACAATATTGCTTCATTGCCATCTTTTAACATTCCAAGGTTTGAGCCATTAGATATGCAAGGCAGGTCTAGCTCCACTTTAAAATAACTACATTTACATTATTTTTTACAAAGTCTTCTAGAATCATTGCACTAGCATGAAGTGGTAAATACTAATTAGTATTACAATTTAAAAAGCTTAAGATGAATGTAAATGTTTCCAGGATAACCAATAAAAAAGTAATAAAAGGCCAAGAAACCGTTGCACTAAAAATGGTAAAATGATATAATTAAAAATACTTAATCTAACAAGCAGACAGAAAGTCAGAGAGAAAACACAATATAAAAGATATATAACAAGAGGAAAGCAATAATAATATTATCGATTTAAACTCAAATACAGCAGTAACAGCACTGGAATTAAATAGACTAATTAAAAGAGAATCATGATTAAAAGGAATTCTATTAAAAAGTGGGCAGCCTGCCTGGCATGTCTCAGTGGTTGAGCGTTGACCTATGAACTAGAAGGTCACAGTTTGATTCCTGGTCAGGGCATATGCCTGGGTTGCGGGCTCGATCCTCAGTAGAGGGCGTGCAAAAATTTTCTCATCATTGTTGCTTCTTTTTTTAAAAATTGTTTTAAAAATGTTATTTTTTTTATTGATTTCAGAGAGGAAGGGAGAGGGTGAGGGAGATAGATACATCATTGATGAGAGAATCATTGATCCGCTGTCTCCTGCATGACCCCTACTGGGGATCGAGCCTACAACCAGGCATGTGTCCTAACCAGGAATCCAACTGTGACCTCCTTCCTAGTTCATAGGTCTACACTCAACCACTGAGCCACACCAGCTGGGCCCAATGGTATTTTTTTTTAAAGAAATAGAACAAAAAATCACCACCTTTGTAAGAAATCACAGCCTGACCGTTGTGACTCAGTGGTTGAGCTTCTGCCTATGAACCAGGAGATCATGGTTCGATTCCTGGTCAGGGCACATGCCCAGGTTGTGGGCCTGATGCCCAGTGTGAGGTGTGCAGGAGGAAGCTGATCAATGATATTCTCTCATCATTGATGTTTCTATCTCTCTCTCCCTCTCCCTTCCTCTCTGAACTCAATAAGAATATATTTTTTAAAAAGAAAAAAATTCAAAAGACTTCAAAGAGTCAAAGCAATCCTGAGGAAATAAAGAACAAAACCAGAGGTATCACAGTCTCTAAGTTCAAATTATACTACAAAATAACAATAATCAGAACAGCATGGTATTGGCAGAAAAACAAACACACAGATCAATGGAATAAAAATAAGAGCCCAAAAATAAACCCATATGTATATGGGCAAATGCTTTTTGAAAAGGGAGCCAAAATGTACTATAAAGAAAAAAAAAGGCCTCTTCAACAAATGGTGCTGGAAAAATTGGAAAGCCACATGTAAAAATGAAACTAGATTACTGTTAGTCCTCATATATACAAAAATAGATAAAAATAGATAAAAAACCAAAGACCTAAATATAAGACCAGAAACAATAAATTATATAGAAAAAAACATAGTTACTACACTTAGAGTGGATTTTATGCTTTGACCCCAAAGGTAAGGGAAGTAAAGGCAAAATTATCTGAATGGGACTACATCAAACTAAAAAGCTTCTGTACAACAAAAGAAACTGGCAGTAAAACAAAAGGAAACCAACCGAATGGGAGAATATATTTGCAAACAACTCCAACAAGGGGTTAAAATCCAAAATATATAAAGAACTCATTTGAAAGCAACAAATAAACAAAGAAGAAAAACAAGCAAAGAAAAACTCATAAATACAGACAAGGGTCACCAGGGGAAAAAGGGGAAAGGTTAGTAAAGGGTAAAGGGATTGAAATATCTGATGATGGAAGAAGATTTAATTTTGAGTGGTGAACACACAATGCAATATATAGATAATGCATTATAGCATTGTACACTTGAAACGTATATAATTTTACTAACCAATGTAAATTAAAACAAATTTAATTTAAATAAACAACAACTGGCAATGATAATAATAATACCATTACAGAAGAAACTATCAAAGTCAAGAGTTAATTTTTAAAAATTTTATAAAATTATTAAATGCCACCCTGGCCAGTGTAGCTCAATTGATTGGAGAATGATCCTGTGCACCAAAGGGTCATGGGTTCGATTCCCAGTCAGGGCACAAATCTGGGTTGCAGGTTCAATCCCATTTGGGGCACATACAGGAGGCAACCAATCAATGTCTCTGTCTCACATGGATGTTTCTCTCTCTCTCTCTTTCTCTTTCTCTCTCCCTCTCCTTCTCTCTCTCTCTCTCTCTCTCTCTCTCTCTCTCTCTTTCTCTCTCTCTCCCTCCAACAAAATTTCTTTTGAAAATATTGTTAAGTGCCTTTCAAAAATTAGAAGAGAAAGAACAAAAGAGAGAGAACAAATTTCCAAATATTATAAAAGGGACATAACTATGAACCCTACAGACATTAGCATTATAATAAGAAAATATGCACAGAGCCAACAAACATGGACGTTTGAAAAACTTGGACAAATTCTTGAAAAAACAACACAATTTACCAAAGATGACACAATAAGATATACATAATTTGAATAAAGGTATATTTATTTATTTGTTAATCACAATTTACCAAAGATGACACAATAAGATATACATAATTTGAATAAAGGTATATTTATTTATTTGTTAATTAGCTGCGAAAGTTACCCCATCTCAGAAAGAATTGCCAACACATAACTGAATTTTTCATAGTTAGAGATGACATGAAAGTATACATAAAAAATCCAAGAAGATCTACAGATAAAATATTAAACTTAAGAAGTTAATTTAACATGTGGATACTGGGAGCAAAGTCTAAATATTTTAGATATTAGCAAAAAAAATCACAGGTACACATGCACACACACACACACACACACACATACACAAAGAAGTTGAAAAGCCCTTGTATTTTCAGATTGAAACTCTATTTCTAAAAGTCATTCATCCAGAGGTCATAGTTAAAATCATGGGTAAATTAAGGTTCTCCAAGGTGAGGACATCTAAAGGAAAATCATAAGTTCAAGAAACCACCTTTGAGAGATGATGATTTGGGGGAGTTAGGGAAAATAATAAAAGCAAAGCAAACAGAGAAAAATATGAAGACTATTGCAAGATGAAGACATCAGATGGCAAAGAAATAGCAGAATTGTCAAGCAATTTAAAGTTCCAACTCAATTGGGTTAAAAGGAAAACTGAAACTTAGGTTTACATAACTAAAATATCCAGAGGTAGGTCAGTCTCCAGGTACAGTTTGATTTGATTTTTGACTTGGTCAATTCATTATTCTGTTTTATTTGTGACCTTTATTCTTGAGTCAGCTTTTCCTATGGAACAAAACTCTGTTGCAATTCTGACCTTTGATGGTGGCATATCATGCAAACAAAGAAAGAACCCTTCCTTTCTCAACCACTGAATATAATCTGTAGGCTTCAGTTGGATTGGACCAAATTAGGTCACCAATTATTCCAACTAAACCTGCTCTCATCTGGGGTCAAACTTTCCCCCTAGGGGACATTTGGCAGTATCTGAAGATATATTTGGTTGTCAAAACTGGGAAGGTGCTGCTGGCATCTAGAGAGTAGAAATGCTGCTAAGAATCCTGGCGTATGCAGGACAACCCTCCATAACAAAAAATTATCGGGCCCAAAGTGTCAATAGTATAAAAGTTGAGAAATCTTTAGACCAGGGGTTCTGAAACTTGAATGTATATTAAAATAATCAGAAAGCTTGTTAAAACACAGATTTCTAGTTTCTATTTTTACATTTTTTTTATTTAGTAGGCCTAGAGAGAGGCCTGAAAATTTCATTTTCTAACAAAATCATAGGCACTACTGTTGGTGGTAACTCACAGTCCACACTCCAAGAAATACATCAGTTCAGGCCCTAGATTGTAGCTGAGGGCACAGTCAAGCATACAACAGCATGCCTACTCTATCAGATGGGGTGGAGTTTAATGCATTCTGGAGAAATAACCACTATTCTAATCGAGAGAG